TCAATGGTAATGTTTATCACCTCTACTAATTAACATGACATAAATTTCCATACTTCCTCCTCAAATATAATACATTTTTTAAAATTTGATTTTTTTGTGTGTGTATATCACAAAGAACATCCCAAATGATCTTATTCAACTATACACTCAGTGCTGGAGAAGCACAGACAGGCAAATCCCTAGGGCTTATTGGCCAGCCAGCCTAGCCTAATTGGTGAGATCCAGGTCCCACTGAGAGATCCTGTTTCAAAAACCATGGTAACTGGCTCCTGATAAATGACACCAGGGTTTTCTGGCTTCCACACATATGCACATGCACCCCAACAAATAAGAACATGAGCACCACCCCCATACACACAAATAAAATAAACTGGGCTGGTGGTGCAGTTCAACTGCAGGAAGTATACTTTGCAGGGCATGCTAGAGGCCCTAAGTTTGATCCCAGCACATAAACAAATAACTAAAACTGGAGTATTTTCTTCAACTGGTAAACAATAATAGAAGAATAAAAAGCTATTCTGATCTTTAAGACAGTAAGTGAACATCTTTTTTGTAGAGAATCTGAAATGAGCAGGCACAGAAGAAATGCCCTGGGTTTAATACCACTTGGGTTATTTACTTTAACTCAAGGTCTTCAGGCTCACAAAAGGCAGTTGAAACTTTCTGTACATCGAGTCATTGAAAAGCAACAGAGCAGAATTATGAGAACTGCCTAAGTCCCAATATCTAGATTAGTGGTTGAAAATCCTCTCCACATACTGAGATCACCTGACAGCTTTAATAATTCTGATGTCTGGGTCTGACTCCTTATAGATTTTGATTTAATTAGTCTTAGATGTGGCATGGGTATCAAAAGTTTTAACCAATTCCAGGTAATCTGAATGTGCAGTCAAGCTGAAGACCATTTATTGATCATACTTTGTAAATTCATTTCTAGTGAAAGATCAAGATTCTAAAGCTTAATAGAGGTAGAAGACCTTTCTAAGTGCAGCTGAGTTTTGTGCTTCCTCAAAAAGATGCTGATGTTTTCAACTCACAAATGGTTTCATCAGGTTAACCTGTAAAACTGTGTACTAAAATGGATGCTTTTGCTTTGCAAACAAATATTTACCATATTGGGTGATGTAACTTTCTTTTGACGATGCAGGTTAATGCCTATCATTTGAGAATCTTACAATTCCAGGTTTCATAATTAGCACAGATCAAGTTCTCTTTTGTGCACCACATCAACTTTTAAACAAAATCTGTTTGTTAAAAAGCATTATTTTCCAAAGATGGATGATGGATAATTTTTCCATCCCCTTTCCTCCCCTTCTTTCTCCTCCCCATCCTTTTTTTTGCTGGTAAGGAACCTAGAACCTGGGGTATGCTAGGCAAGTGGTCTACAACTGACTACATCCTCTTAATTACTTTGGTGTCATTTATGGGTTTTAAGCTTGTTCTCCTTCATAGCATAGGCTTATCACCCTAAGAACCCAAGAGTTCATTTCAATGACTAGTTTTACCATTTAATATTACATCTTATTTCAAGAATTTATCCTACAGATGAACAAGTCTGCTCAGAATAACATCATCATTATAAGAGACTGTGAGTAAAAGATGGTCCACTATAAAAATGCATTATAGGACTTTTAAAAAAATTGAGACTGGCTCTAATATAGCTCAGGCTGGCCTTATATGGTTGTGTAGCCAGGGCTAGTAAGTCCTGATCCTCTTGTCCCAGTTTCCCAAGTGCTGGAATTATAGGTATGAACAAACATGCCTAGCTCAGGATTTTGATTTTATTAAACATTTTAATGTCTACTGCTGGGCCTTTCTTCAAATTCAAGCATTAAGCAAAGCTTGAAATGGTGTCATGTGAGTGGAAATAACTGATAATTTTTAAGTTTTTGCCCCTCCTATTATTTTGGCCTCTCACCAAAATAAGGGTCATCCCTGTTACATGTAAATAAATAGTGCATATAAGAAAAAGCAGCACAAAGTTGACTTAGTACTAGTAATGAAAAAAAAAAAACATGATCTGCATGGTGCTGATGAATTACAATACATTTTATGTTTTACTTGCATGTACTAGAAACTAAGTGTTTCATAAATATTAACTCATTTGAATTAAGGAAGAGGATAGTTGATTTTCTGAAAGTCAAGGAAGTATGCCAAGAGAGGGCTCCTTCAGTTCTGAAAACCCTTTTCTCAAACCGGCATCCTGGTTTGTGCTTAAGGTGTTTCATTTCTGTTTTATGAATTAAAGGCATCTTCTGACAAGAGCAAGTCCCAGTCTTCCTGTTTAGATCAGGTTGTAAAAGATCCATAGTTAGGGTCTACTAAGGGGTAAAGTTTTGAGTAGAAGGGAGAAAAGGACTAATTCTGGATTAGGGGTGGGTCTCTATTTTCAAAATCTTTTAATTTTTATGACTTTGTACTTTTTAATATTATATGTGTGAGAGTATATTGCCTGCATGAATGTGGGTGCACCCGTGTCGTGCAATGCTCGAGGAGGTCAGAAGAGGGTGTTAGAGTCTCCTGGAACTGGAGTTATAGATGGTTGTCAGCTGCTGTACAGGTGCTGGAAATCGAACCCAGGTGCTCTGCAATAGCAGGCAGTGCTTTTAACCTCTAAACCATCTCTTCAGCCCCAAGATTTTGTATTTTTTATTTGTGTGTTTGCTTCCATGTATGTACATAAAACAGATGCATGCCTGGTGCCCACGGAGGCTAGAAGAGGGTGTCAGATGCCCTAGCACTGGTGTAACAGACAATTGTGAGCCACCATATGGATTCTAGGAACCGAACCTGGGTTCTCTGCAGGAGCAGCAAGTGTTTCTTAACCTCTGAGCTCTCTCTCTACCCCATGTTTCCAGAATCTTTTTTTTGCTGTGATTTTTTTTACATTATTTATTTAATAACCACATGATTAGAAGCATTTCATTACAGCTTTAACATATTCAATAACAATTTCCAGAGCAAAGATAACATCTCTTTCAAAAGTGGCTGTAAAATTTTAGGTTCACAGTTGAATTAATACAGTTATACAATATTGAACTCAGTATAAACCCTGTAAGACATAAAATTGAATGAGGCTTTTAACCTTCAAAAAAGATATACATTTCAACATATACTGGTTCCGATAGAAAAATCATTTTTAATGCTACTAACGCTTAGATATTTGCACATGCGGTTCTAATTTCTATGTATCTGATTATTACTAGTTACACTCTGATCCTTGGCACCTGAGTATGGATATAAAGTCATCAGGTAGATTTCAATGGCAATGTTTTTCACCTCTACTAATTAACATGAAGCAAATTTTTATGCTTCTTCCTCAAATATAACTTATTTTTTAAAATTCTTTGATCTTTTTGTGTGTATATCATACAGAACATCCCAAACAATCATATTCATCTATATACCCACTTCCCAAATGGCACCCTCCCATAGTGGCCCCATCCACTGGAGCCCATATACTCTGTCATCCCTGTTATTACTGTCCACTGTTCTTGGCACCCCCAGCTGTTCCCCAGTGCTTGTCCATCTGCTGAGTCTAGTCAGCCTATCTAGAATTCCTTGTTTTAGGAGGGTCAGCTGTTCCTCATCTAGCAGCAATCAGTTGTCAATAATCTAGCAGCAATCCGTTGCCAATATTCATTTAGATAAGACTGGTGTCTGCTGTTCATTTTCCCAGTTCTATGCTGGGTTACTGTCTGGAAGTCTCTGGGGCCACCCTGGCCAACAACTGTCTGGCATGTATCGCCAGTTTGGCATTGTT